GAACACATTTAACTACCAGTAATACCTCTACAAATAGTTAAATGTGTTAATGAACAGATAGATGTTTTATGTCTAGGATTAAGATTTTCATAAATGTTATCATATAAAAGGCATAAACGTTGTCTTCTCTAGGTTGCCTGCTTCACGTAATTAATTGTTGGCCGACATTCTTTTAATTGTAAAGGAGCCACAATATACCATGTTCAGTTAGTAACATATAGAATTCCATTACCCATGCTTTCAAATTTCCAGCTTAGAATATTGCAATTAACTCTTTACAAAAGACTAGGCTGTCCATGTTTGTGCTCTTCCATGTAGTTCTGGCTCACTTTATGTTTTATTCAAAATGCAGAGGAAGTAGGTAACATAACTAACACGAATAACAGAAACATGGGGGAAGGGAGCCAGCGGACTGTGTACAGTGTGACAGTAATAGTAATTCATAATTTAGCAAAAGCTCATGGGGATGGAAGCGTGGGGGAGGGAGAGAACAAAAGAGGAGCTGATAGCGAGGGCTCCAGTAGAAAGAAAATGTTTTGAAAATGATGGTGGTAACATATGTACCACAGGGCTTGATATACTTGATGTATGATTGTTGCAAGAGATGTAAGAGCCCTCAATAAAGTGAGTTATTGAAAAAAAGCATGAAATCAAAGAGGGAGCAAGGCGACTCAAAATCTGAAGTTAGTCGTAGGGTACTTGGTGACCATGGTCTGCCTCTTATGAAACAAGGAGAACGATTGGCTGACACTGGAAAAAGAATGAGAACTCGCTAGTCTGCTATGTGAATGATATGTATTAGCACCAACTTAGGGGCAGATTCCACGTTTGACTTCTGAGAAGGTGTAGAAAGAAGAGCTAACAGCATAAAGGAGCACCCCCAGACCCAGCGCCAGTTACCACTGACCCCATGTGTCTCAGAGTAGAGCTGGGTTCCATACGAGCTTCAAAAGGTGATTCTTTTGAAGGACGTAGAAGGCCAAGCCTTTCTTTCAAGGCATCGTCAGTCTTCCGGTAAGCAGCTGAGCATGTTAAAGTCTTTGTACCATGCAGGGAACTCAACTGCCCAGATTAACCTGTTGCCATTGTTGGACTACAAAACAAGCAAGCATGAGTCTACTCCTGCTTACTGACGAATCTGTAGCGAGCAGTTGCACATTTTTGCACCATATCCAAGAGTCTGCTTCTAGGGTATGGCTGCCATCTGATTCTCCCCCAGCCACGCACAGAAACAACGTCTCTTTTCAAATTCACAGCCCCTCACAGGGATGGAACACCCAGGAAACAAAGTAAGCATGGACTGGCTTGTGCTTACTTACTACCCTGTGGAGAACAATTCCACACGGTTTCACATCTTTGATGTGGTGGAAAACATAAGCAAGATAAAGTTTGGTTACTGGGTAATGCACTTCGCCTGCCCAATGCCCTCAAGTCAATTCTGCAGTGACCCTGTCTCTAACTTGGATCCTCATGGCTCTAAGGAACGACAGCTCCTGGGGAAAATGCTGGTTCCAACTGTGGACCAAAATTACAAAAGAAGCCTAAAAGAGGTGTCATGCCCAAAGTCAAACTTGGAGCACTCCTCGTATGAAAGGGCTTTAACTTGAAGAAACTCCCATTGTCCCAGATGAGATAACCTATCACTAAAAGAACAATATCGGCAATGGCCGTAGACACATCCAAAAGATCACTGAAGGTAAAAACATTAAATATATAGTAACTTTATCGTTCACATGTTAGGTAATGAAATCATTTGAGGGGATAGTGTTGAGGAACATGTTAAATGTGAACAAAGTATCGAGCTTTCATGCTGCCTTTTTGGTAACATATCTCTGACACACAGAGATATTTCAGGATAACGTAATAATTATCAGGGTGCCCTGGTGATAAAGCATGTCAAATGGTAGGACCCGAACTGCAAGGTCACACCCTCCAGCGATTTCAAGAAAGATGAGGCTGTCTGCCCCAGTAAAGGTTTATACTCTCAAAATGGAAAGGAGCAGTTCTATGCTGCCCCGTGGGGTCACTGAGAGGCAGACTAGACTAACCGTGGGTTGGTGGGGTGAGTTGAGAAAGGCAAATATCTTCTGGTAGGACCACTTGTCAAATACTAAATTGGAAAATAATCCACACAATCTGCTCTGGGGAAAACTGAGAGGAAAATAACCTGGTTTCTTCAAAGGTGAGATTCAAAGGGTAGTGAAGAAAGAATCTGTACATGAAAAGAGATCAACCGATAGAAATGTATGGGTCTCATTTGGATCTAGATCCTTGCAAATAATGGTTTAAAAAATCACTTGAGATAACCATGAAAATCTAATCATCCCTGAGTGTGCCATCAAAGCCATCCTGGCTCATAGCAAACGCTCTGAGACCCTTACTTGACCAATTACAGGAACGCACCTCTAGTATCGTCAGAACATTTTAAGTCAGGATTACAGGTATAACTCAAACCCAACGCAAAGTGACTCTACAGGACACCAGTGATGGTTAGGGATTATGTCACCTTAGACACTCTGAGTTGGTGTAGGGATGGATCCTAACCTACCGGTACCAACTGAATTGCAGCCTGATGACATTTTCTTGGTATGATAAGCCTTTTACTATAAGAGAGGTGGGGCAGTGGAATCCTCTTTGGTCCTTCCCCTCCTGCCAAGCTCAGTCTTATGTCTGGTCCTTGAGATCCTCTTGTCTCACCTGATGACTCCAGGCGGACTTTGACCTCGGTATCCACCAGCCTGTGCCTCCCTGCTCCCCTTCCCCAATGGCTCTGCCTCATGATCCTGCTTCCTGTTTGTCAGCATCCAGAAGCCTGACTTGAACCAGACTGGACTTACCTTTCTCTGCAACCTGTTTCTTGATATAAATCACATACAAGTGTCACTGGTTTTGTTTTTCGGTCGAACCTAACCAGACACACTCCACCAGACACATTCTGACCTTATCATGTCAAAATCATCTAGGAGGAGTGAATGCTAAGTAGGAGTACAGGAGTCCTGGTTCTGTGCCCGGCTGTGAATGAGCAGGCTGAAGCCACCAGTCACTCTGCAGGAGGAAGGTGTGGCAGCCTGCTTGGCTATGGCAGCAGCCGTGGGAATCCTCCCCGCTTCTACTCTGTCCAGCAGAGTCACTGTGAGTCAGAGCCCTCAAACAACAAACCAACCAACAAGCAGGGGAACCAAACGTATTGTAGACTGTGGTCTGTTTAGATGTGTGAAAAGTTTAAAAAACGAAAGATACAGACGGAGGGCACATTGAAAATAGGTAAAAATCCCGAAAGGCCTCCTTTGGATCAAGATACATCCCCCCTGCAAACAACAGAAGGGCATAGGTAGGGCATACCCCGTGAAACATCGATGTAAAGGAAAAAGGAAGATGCTACTTTATATGACTTGGCCCAGACTACAGAGGAGTCTCTTAATGACAAATCCCAAATCATGAGTACCTCAAGCCTTAGAAAGCCTTATAAAAAGAAGCCCCGGGAGCACTGTGATTAAATGCTCAGCTGCTAACTGAAAGGCTGATTGTTCAAACCCACCAGCCACTCCCTGGGAAAGAACGTGCTTCCCTAAAGATTAGTTCGGCACAGGGTCACTAGGGGTCAGAATTGCCTCGATGGCCATGGGGTTTTGTGCTTTTTTAAAAATGTATTTTTAATTGCTTTATAAAACATACCAAATCGAAGGTATACATTGAAGCTGCAGGAAATGGGCATTTTAGGTACAAAGATCTAACATAATAAAGGTATGTATAATAACATCACTGGGATGTATGGGAAATTCTTCTCGTCTGATCATTTTCAATAAGCTAGGTAAGTAAATTGGTCTTTATGTAATGTCCCTTCCCCAACTTCCTAAAAATGTAGAAGGAACTTGAAGCCCTGGCTCACCTCAGTCCTAAGTGAAAGTTTGGACGATTGCATGATGACTTTGGACAAGACGGAGAGGTGGCCAGAAAGTTCTCAAAATAAAGAAACCAAGCAGAGGGTGGCCACGATGGTTGCCACAATGGTTTTCTCTCCGGACTTGGAGGTGCTCCATAACCCACAGAGAAACGCTAGGATTCTTGTGACGTCAGCTATGTGTGTCGTGGTAAAACAGTTCATACACAATAGGAAACATACAACGAAACATTCCTACATGTGAAAAGGGAGCGTTCGTAACTTGCAGTCTAGCCGGGCTCCCACCTGTCCCCAAAGCCTTGTTATGAACTTGCTGCTTTTGACAAGCAAAAACCGATATAGAACAGGTGCCTCTGTTATTGCTGCAGATAAATTAGGGGCACCTGCTTGGATGCCAGCTGTGTACTAATTAATCTTGCGATTGCTGAGATAACCAAATTATCACAAAACTGGAAAGACTCCTTCCAGCTTCTGGAGAAACGCGTTTGGTGTGGTGGCTGACAGGTATCCAGAGACAGACCAATCCGTGCCACCAGCCTGTGTGGTGAGTTCTGCCAGATGCGGTCGAAAAGGGTGCATGAGCATCTGTGTTTGAGGGGGCTGTAGGCGTCTGGCTGGAGCAAGGCTCCTGAGCATGCAGAACAAAGTGTCCTCTGGCCCAGTGGCGCAGACACCAACACATGCCCGGTGTTGGAGGGCCATCTTTGGACTACTCGAGAACAACATGTCCATCACACCTGAGCCCGACACCCTACACTAGACTCCAGCATTTTCCTGCTGTGGCTTTCCGGGAAGCCCTTCGTCTGTATTTATGGAGCAGAAATAACGGGATGGAGGCAGCGCTTCAGTCCCAAACAGATGGGTGGGATCCGTGCACCATCCATGTGGACAAGACAGAAGATGGCCCGAGAGCACTCAAAAGAAAGCGACTGGGAATGACCAGCAAGGCAGCTTGGTTTGCAATGCAGGCTGTTCTCTCAGCTGGGCTTGTCTGTGAGTCCTCAAGGTACTCAATACTCAAAGGACACACCCACAGGCTGCGGTCTGTCCTGAAGTCGGATGCACCGGTTCATCCGATAGGAGAATGAGACGAACTTACCTGAAGACTGCCAGGGTCAGAGACCAGAGTACTAATGGTTTCCTCAGTTCAAACTTGGCCCGTTTGTTCATTAGGTGCCGGCCACCAAATATAAAGGCAGCATACAGAGCAGAGAACAGGAACGATTTCTTCCTGCGAACAGACAGTGAACAAAAGCTTAGGAAATAAGAACCCTCCAGCAATTCTTTGCAGCAACCAGTTTTCTTCCCGTAATAGAAAACTGAACAACAAAAAAGCTTACGCATTACTTAACTTCAAGCAATCCCGTTTATTAACAACAACACATCAACTCTTTCTACCAATTCTCCTCCTTTTGAAGGCACAGTTCTCGGGGATGTGCCCTCCTCGTGGCAGGGAGGAAGTGTGGTTGGTCCGTTTTTGGACATGCCTTTCTGTGGAGACCTTCCTTGCCAAATGAGGCCATCAGAAGCAGAACCGGAAGCACACTGAGCACCATGCCAGGCTTCTGTCTCCCTTCTTCTCGAGTTCCATGGATTTGACAATGCTCACAATATAGCAACGCCAAGTTTCCTGAGCGAACACTGACAGTTTGATAAGCCCACTAATCGCTAAATTTTCCAAGAGAATCAACTTAATTGGAAATAAATGATTGGTAAAAGAGTTGTGTCCTGGGAAAATAAAGACCATGGGTGAATGTTATTAAAATAGGCTGGCCTTAGAGTCATCTTTGACGATGTGAAACATTCCAAGGTAAGCTATAACATGGTGTCTAACTCTCCAACATAGATTCTTGAAATGCTCTCCACCAAAGCAGGCCTGTATTAGGTATCAGTATTAGGAATAATAGCAGTCGCAGTCGCCAGACACCATACAACGTAATAGGGAGCACTGAGAACCACCTATGAAGTACATGTGCCCCAAATTCTTGAATATGAATACAATCAAAGCTCTTCATCTATTTATAGGACATACATGAGGGGGAAAAGGCAGAGCAGAGGAAAGCTATCGAACAAATGTGAACCATAAATACTCAGCAGGGCAAGTGAACTGTAACCCAGTTGGTAGCGTGGAATAAAAATCGGAATGGTTCCCGATTTAGGGAGCTAATAACCAAATATAATGTGTACAATATTTCGGGATCCTTATTTGACCAATTATAAAACACATTTCTCTTATAGTCAGAACATTTTAAGTCAGGATTACAGGTAT